CAAGAAATAAAGTCTATTAGGAATAAACATAGGAATAAAACCTATAGATTAAATATATTAATAATAATTATTATTATAATCATAGCTAAAATTCACAGAGTGCTTACTATATGCCAGGTACTCTCCTAAGTGCTTTGATGGATATTAACTAATTTAATGTTTTCCTAACTCTATAAGGTATTGCTGTTGTCTTCCCCATTTTGCAGTTGAGAAACCTGAGGAACTGAGAGGTTAAATGACTTGTCTAGACTCACACAGTCAATAAGAATAAGATCACATAATGAGCACAAAGTGGCACTGGGGGCTTAGCAACAAAACCTTTCTACAGGAGGCGAGTTGAGATGTGGCCTGCCCCATCACTGAGGCAGAGACCATCTGCTGGCCATCACTGGGGGTGGTAAACAAAGCTGTGGAGAGCCCGCTAACATGATGATGTGTGATCTGGCTGGCACGTGACACCACAGCCTTCCCAGAGAATGTGCCAGCTGGATTCTAAAGTTCCTTTGCTTCAGGTACTCAATATGTGACAGACTTAAGTCTTCAATGGAAGTCTCTCCCCTTCTCCTAACAAGCTCAAAGTAGAACTGGCCATCTTCTCGACACACAAATGCCGACTTTCAATTTTGAAAAAGCCCAGTGAATTACCTTTGAGAAAGTAACTACCCGTTGTGGTAGAGAGGAAGTTACAATGGTAAATAGCTAGATAACTGAATGTACTCTCTCAGCACTGAGTGTCCACTCTGCCAAGAACTGTTTGGACTCCTGAGGACTCAGCAGTGAACAAGGCAGATAGAAGTCCCAGTCCTCGTGGAGCTGCCATTCTAATGGGGAGAGACAGTAAAACAAAGAAGTAAGAGATAGTGAGGAGTGACCAGGGGAAACAAAGCAGGAGAGGGGATGGAGCTTTGGGAAAGGGAGGGCACTTGAGTGCAGGAGAACCCTTAGTTCTGATGATTCTCTCTTCAGTTTCCTCACTTTCTCACGAAGTAGCCTCTCAAATCACCTGTCAGGGACCCTTGCAACACTGGGCCAGGGAAAGTGTGGACCCTGGTGGGTGGGGTAAGGGAGACACAATTCAGTTCCTACAGTCTGTAATCTACTGTGGAGATTGAATCATGGAGGCAGGGGGACTATTTTATGTCAATATTCAATAGGTGTAGCTATTTGTGCAGACATTTCCTTGTTTCATTATATCCCACATGAGTTTTCCCATATACCTATTTAAAGAATACACGGTTTGGTAGCATTTTGAGTTAATATTTCTATCTCTGAGCAAACCTTTGCATTTGAAAACTCTGTGAAAACAATGAGATGAAACATTACAAGAAAACAGAGTTTGTTGATAGCAAAAGCTCAGAAAATTGGACTGGTTAGGTTAAGATCGACATGGCCAAAACTGTATTCATTATGTTTCTTGGAAGGGATTTTCTCCTTTGAGGAGAAAAGCAGATCAGTTCTATTAAACTTATATTTTCTTCTCTGGAAAGTTAGATTAAGGTTCAGTGTCAAACATAACATGCAGCTTAGAATATCAGAAGCTGCCCCACTTCCCTTTCCTCCACACCCACACCACGTGCAGCTGTGTACCCTCTGCTCCTTGCTAGCAGAGCTGTGGCACCATGTCTAGTCTGCTTCCTGCTGGGGCCCACAGTCCATTTTCCTGTGTCCTGCTTCCTCTGTTTTCCTCTTCTGAGATCCTAAGTAGCCTTCCAGAATCTTGATTGGATTTACCTGAGTCCACACTGCTGTTATCCCCTGCCCCTCTTTTACTCTGTGAAATATCCTTTACGCTCTTTCTTACTTTAGTAACCTTTAGTGACAAGATTGGTCTGTGTGTAAAAACGCATCAGTTTTGTAATGTACCCCTTATTGCTCCCCTCGAAACTTCTCCACTCTTATCAGGCTTAATTGCCTACATTTAATTGTCAGAGGTAATATTCACTTTTTAAAATGCAATGATCATTAAGATTTTAATAAATGATTTAATATCTATAATGTAGATTAAAATATATAAAACTGATTCAATGTCTTAACTCCTAAAGTTTTCTTATAAAATGAAACAGTTAAGTATTGCCTAGAAGTGACACCCACACATGCATCTTGCTCTATCATGCTTCCTTCAGGTTCTCTGTTTTCTGTTAGCAGTGAACTGATACATTTATCATGAAGCACAAGTGAGAAAGAGAGAAAAAAAAAGAGAAAAAGAAAAGCATTACTGTAGGAGTCCTGGAAAGAACCATGTTTATATTTATTTATCTTCCTCAGAGGAACTCCCAGACATGAGGCTTACATGTCTGGGAGTTCCCCCAATTCACAGCTCCCCCAAGTCACAACTAGCAAACCTCCAGAATTCCTCTCTTCCATCCCTCTAGCTGTTGTCCCCTGTTGCATAGGTTTTTCATCTGTCTCTAAAGAAGGAGGAACTACACCTTGACCTTGACTCAAAAAATACAGCAGATGTGAAATTCTTTTAATGATAGAGAAGGTATTGAGCTATGTATAAATACTTCATATTTGATTTGAACATTGTATCTCATCAGTAGATGACATGTATTTAGTTATATAATTGACAAACAAAAAAATGTGGTCCTACAACACTCTTGGCTTGTTTAATTCTGAGAAAGGGCATCCAGAGTAGAGTTCAGGAGTATCCTCTTCCCCAGATATCTGCAGAGTGAAATTGAGTGTTTGATGCCCACAATTTAACTGTTGACAAGTGTTAACTGTTGACAAGTATTGAACAGCTCAGCACTGTGCTAAGCTCCAGGAATATAAGGATGTGTAAGGCATGTCCCAGAGGGATTCCTAGTGTAGTGGGGAAGCAGATACAGAACCAGCTAAGTAGTAGTAGTAGAGTGAGCATTGTAATATAGGTATAAACACAGAACAGGGAGGGCTGAAAGCTGCAGGACTTGGCAGGGGAGTCAGACTTTCATCACTCAGAGAGGGCAGAGAGCAGTCAATGGAAGGGCATGGAAGCTGCCTGTTTGCTTTGCCTGGAAGGTAGTGGGAAGAGACAAGAGAAGATTCTGGAGGAGTAGCTATCTCCTGTGCTAAGGAGACCTATAGGAAAAGGTGGCTGGTGGAGCTTTATCAGCAGGGGAAAGAGACATGATAAAGAAAAAAAACTTAATTGGGAAGATAATGTTACACAGTCCAAGTTCGTACTGCTTACTGTACAACAGGCCAATAAACTGAGAAATGAGTTGTTGGGGTGAGGAGTAGCAACTTTATTCAGAAAGCCAGCAGACCAAGAAAATAGTGGACTAGTGTCCCAAAGAACCATCTTCCCTGAGTTAGAATTCAAGCTTCTTTTATACTGGGGGTGCATTTGGTTCCGCAATTTCTTGGTGCCAGAATCCTTTGTTCTTGCAGAGGTCCAGTCACAATGATCCTATAAACTTCCAACAAGACAAATGTTATTCTCTGTTCTGCAACTTTTTATCTCCATGTGAATGGAAAAGTGTTATATATTTAAAGGTCAGAGCCTTGTGAATGAGCTATCCTGTATATTTCAGGCTATAGGCAACATTCTTAACTTGTAGCCAAAGCAATAGAATACAAGGTTTAAAGAAAAAGAAACAGATCCAACATGAAGTTAGATTTGTTCTTGCCTATTACAATAAGTCTGGTGGCAGTTAGAAGGCAATAGACTAGAAATGGATAGTGTGAGGTAACTCTGCATAGTCTCTTGGCAAGATCTGATGAGGGTCTGAACCACAATCTGCGCATTTAGTGCCCACTCTGCTGGAAGTTCACCACCTTCCAGATGAGCTTTAAAATTTATGACCACCTTAATAGAAAAAAGAAAGTCTGGGTAGAGAAAAACAGCCTAGGAGAATTGAGTGAGCAAGTGTTGAGTGAAAGGGCCTTGACCAGGCTTCCTTCTTTGAACTGAATTCATTAGAGAAATTTGAGAAACTATGGAGTTTCAAAGAACTTGAAACTGGCGTTTCCCCTTCTCCGCCTCTAGTCAGCTTTTAATTTGCTCTTAGCTATTAAGCTGATAGAAGAAAAAAGCTGTCTTTCAGCAGTTGAAGTCAGCCAATGAGAAGAGCTTCGAATCAGGCATTCAGAGGAGGCAGCACCTCCTGCCCAGACCTCCTGGGAGGCAAGGTTCAGCTTATAAGACGGACAGGAATAAACTTGTTGAAGTTTTCTTACTTGTCAAAGCACCTTTAAATAATCCACGCCTGCAGTAGTTTCATCTTCAGGCAAGAGAAAGTGAAAATGGCCCCAAAAGGTGCAACATCTCAAATAAACACTATAAAATGAGGGACACTTGCCTTTAAAGTTGAAGTGCCTCAAGCAGGCAAACAACATTTATATTGTGCTACTAATAGGTTTGTCTTTCCTTGTCTGTGATGATTGTTCTTTGAGACACAAATAAAAACAAAGCGAATCGCATCCAACTATTCTAAAAAGAAAAGATGATTTGATTTTTTTTCTTTTTTTGGTCATTTTATGTTTCAAAAAAGGGTTTTCTTTTTCAATTGCTAGGAAACAGGTGGAAAAGTTGCATTTCTGAGACTGATGCTCCTTGGTAATGAGTTTTGTGGTGCAGTGCTGGTGGTAGTGATTTAGTTAGCAAAAAGCCCTGCCTGTGTTCCAGGCTTCTGGAGAGTACTACGGCTGTCAGACTAGCTCAGAGGATAGTGCAGGGCTGTCAGCAGTGTTGCAGGTCTCTTTCTGCCACATAAACCCCTTCCTTTTAATACAAACAGCAAGACTATCCTGTTCAGTAGTTGACTAATGACTGTGTGCACTGAAATGCAATGATGATGAAGCAGTTGATGCATTTGTGACTCGGTGTCCCACTGAATTCCAGTTTTCTCCTCTCCATGTGGTCAAACAGGAAACAACATTGCATCAGGAAAGAATCTGAAGGTGCCATCCAGTAGCTGTGCCTCACGTCACTGACTGCCCTCAGTCAGAAATCTTGACCTGCAACTTTAGAGGGTGGGTCTCTGAAAGAATTTCAGAGCTTACACAGAGCTGAGGTGTGTTGCTCTCTGATGAGAACAAAGCTGGCTGGAGCACTCAGAGTCTGGCTCTGTCTCTTCACAACCAAGGGGCATCTTTGTGGACTGAAGTTTCAGAAAGGTAGGCACCATCTTGTGGATGTTGTTACTATTTGAGAAACTTCAAAACCAAGTTGGCCTTGGCTGTGTGTGTGTGTGTGTGTGTGTGTGTGAGAGAGAGAGAGAGAGAGAGAAATGATGAAAATGTTTGTTTTTGGCCTGATTGTGGGAGAGATACAGAAAAGAGAGCTTTGAAGCCATTTGCTTGATGAGTTTTACTTCAGAAGTCTTTAGTAGTGGAGAGTAAATGTTGAATTCAAACTTCTAACTTGTATTACTTGCTCTTTGGCGAGTTTAAACTGATTCACTGAAGGGACAGGAAGAATTGTTCAGAGAGTGAAATCACATGAGGCTGAATGCTCAATCGGCATAGCTTGGTTTATTTGGAAAGCCTTGACTCAAGCTGAAATGCAAAGGGTGACCAAGGATCTCCAGGCAGCATAGCAAAAGCCATTTCAGAATGTCTTAAATTTGGAACAAGGCAGAATTTGCTCATCTCACAGTAAGAAGGTTTTCTAAGCTGGTTCTGTCTTAAGGGAGATAGTCTAAATGTCATGTCCAGAAGACATTAGGTGATTAATTCTAAAACTGCCAGCTTTGTGAAGAAAAACGAAACAAAAACAAAACTTTATTTTTTCTAACCCATGTTTAGTGAAGATGTTCTTTTAAGCAATTTTATTTCCTGAAAAGCCTTACACAGAGCAAAGGAAAGAAACCTTTGGGACTCACCAGATGATGAATATTAATTTATTCATTAATCTATAATGTCCAAGGTCCTTCTCTACCATGAGTGAGGATTCAGACTTTAAACACCTTTCATTCCTCTCCCCTACAAGCCTTTTTTAAAAAGGGGGTTTCCACTTAAAATTTCATCAGTAGGATTGCTGGACAAAGGGACAAATTCTTGAAGGGGAAAATAGGCATATGTTCATACTGACAGTAATTGTATAGTCTTCCCATTAAAAATATTCTGTCTTTTCTAAAAGCAGTCAAATTTATATAAGTTTGAAGATAATTCTGGGTTAGCAATAATCTGCACTTATTGGGTTCTTGCTGTATGTATATGCATTTCCCATTTAATTCAGTGAGACAAGACTCATCTTACGCAGTTTTCAGATAAGGATATTTAGGCTCAGTGAGATTTTAGCAGTATAATAGGGAAGTGAGAAAGCCAGAACTCTGTTGCCTTCCTACACACAGATATATATATACAATCATATATATATATGATTGGAGCCTTCTATTCTCCTATTGTATTCCATCAGCCCTTTACAGAGTCCTTGTCACCTGGAGGTGTTTCTGAATCCAAAATAATACGCAAATATGTTAATTTGGTGTCATAGCAAAAGATCAAGAGCCAATCTATAATTTGCTTCTACTCTTGGGGTGAAGGCATGATGAAGTGGACTGAACATGGGCTAGAAATGCAGACAGACCTAGATTTGAATAGCTCCTTCCTGATTACTAATTATGTGACCTAGGCAAGTCAGTGAAATTCTTCAAACCTCACTTTCCTTATTTATAAGCTATTTATTATAACGTCCATCACATGGCATTGTTTGTTTTAAGGAATAGAGAGACAAGTTATGCAGTGTGTCATCTGCATGACTGAAAAATGGTAGGCTTTCGATAAATAGTAGTCATTTCTCCAATTATTTGTTGATGCTTTGTCATGCTAGATCCTGTTCTGGGCATGGGGGTATCAGCAGTGAACAATGGAGGCAAGAACCTGCCCTCATGGAGCTGCCTGGTGCTTGTTTATTATAACATCATGTGATTGACTTTCTTTGAATATCACGTTGTAATTATTGAGATCTTTTATAGTGGTTACCATCCAGCTTTGACATAGCCTCTGAAGCAGGGTAGTGAAAGTCCTGTGCCAAGATTCCCCTAAAGCATAGTAAAATCAGGCAAAAAGCAAGAACATCAGATACTTGTTTTACAAAAGTCAGTTTGTTGTGCTAATCATTTCAGAGTTAGAGGTCAGGAAAGATGTGTTTTTATGCACACATTCACACATACATACACACACACATACACACACACACACACACACACACACACAGAGTTCATCTGAGTTTTCCTGGGCTCCCAAAGCCATAGCAGAAACCTTGTTGGCAGGATGCATGTGGGAGGAGGGTCTGGCTCCAAGAACTCATGGAACAGAGTATATAGTGTGGCAACCATTCATTTGCTTTGGGCCCCAGGCCATCTACTCAGGAGCCTTGGGCTTTCCAAGGCCTCCATAGTGTGAATTTAGGGATGCAATACAAAGCTTGAACTGGAGATAATATACCTTTATAAAGACAGATTCAGGACAAGAGTGATTGATTTATTTACTGGCTAAAAGCCTGGAGTTAAGTAAGCCAGTTGGCATCAGGAATGGCATTTCGGCATCTGTCCCTAACTTTGCATCCCAATGAACTGCAGATCACAGCAGAGAGATAGGAGAGGAACACAGGGAAGCTCCCTCTGGAATCAAATGCAATTGTATTCTTCCTTTTCCTGGAGACACCTGCGCACACAATACCACCGACCTTATTGGTCTTACACATTGTGAGTTTGTTTTTATTTAGCTGGTAGAACCAGAATGATTGAAGAAATCTTTGTGTCATCCCAGACAGACCAGACAATTGGCACTCTGAAAGAAGACTTTCTTAAGTGGCAGGACTTACTTTCCTAAGCCCAGTGCAACAATCAATCTCATCATTTTATGGGCCATACTATATATTGCCTTAAGATTGTGTCTTATAGCAAGGATTTTAAATGATGAAAATATAAACTAAGTTAAAAGCCTAATTAGAATAAATTAGGGCTTAGATATAAAAACATCAAACAGCACGTGGATGGAGAGATTAAGAACCTTTGACCTTGGGACTTCCCTGGTGGTCCAGAGGGTGAGATTCCACACTCCCAATGCAGGGGGCCTGGGTTCAGTCCCTGATTGGAGAACTAGATCCCGCATGCATGCCACAACCAAGAAGTCTGCAAGTCTCAATGAAGAGCCCGCGTGCTGCAACTAAGACTCAGCACAGCCAAAATAAATAAATATTTTTTAAAAAAGAACCTTTGACCTTATACAACACTGTAACAGCCTAAATTTTCCCCAGGAATTTCTGTGGATAGGGGACAGACTTTCCATTGTAAATGGACTTCAGCAATCACTGTATTTTTGAAACAGTTAAATTATTTCCAAATTTCATTATTATCAGACCTTAAAGTCTGAGGAAGCCCATTAACAAGTAGAAGAGGGCTGTGTGAGAGGGAGTTTGACCTTGAGACACATTTCCCCTTTCCCAAGTAGGAGGATTTAAAATTTCTCAGGCAGGGAGTGTTTACATGCTGCTCAAATATAAAGTTAAAGGGTTTTGGTTCATTCAAAAAACCATTTCCTCTTTTTTTTTTTTTTTGCCAACCTGGTTGCTGGAAAGTCTGTGGAGGGTATCTGTACAGCATTCTAAGGAGTGTGAACTGAACAGACCAGAGGCCTTATGCATAGCTGGCATTCGGTTTACAGAAGTTCCAATTCAATGGAAACTTTCCTTTTTTTTTTTTCCTGAATTTTATCTTCAGGAAATACCAGGAAACTAATACATTTAACCAAAATTTCCAAATTCGTCTGCTCAGTATTGGTACACACAAACACACACCACACAGACACACAGATGCACATACACACATGACATAGACACAGATACACACAGACATACACATACACACACTACACAGACACATACACACGTTCGTGTGCATGTGCACAATATAAAAACAAAATCAAAAGATATATACTTTTTGCACGTGTGCAGCAAAGGTTTAGTTCTCCTGTCATAGATTGTGCTGCCTTCTTCCATCCTGTAGCTCTGCCTTCTGATACATGTGACGTGTGGTCACTGGGCCTGGAGAAGGGAGAAATGGAGGCAGTTTCCTAGCTTTTTTTAAAACTGAGATATAATTGCCATATTATGCTAGCTTCAGTTGTTGTTACATAATAATTAAATATTTGTATATATTGTGAAATAATCACCAAACATAATTCTCATTAATGGGAAAACTGTAAAATTCACAGCTAATGCATATATTTAAGTTATATGAAGAGATAAAATATTACATTAAGGGACTTGAAATAATTTTTATTTATATTTCCATGTTCTTAAATGAAGTGATTAGGGAGGAAAAAGCATATGCCACAATCCATTTGTTCTTTATAGGGTACTTGTGTTCAAGAACAAGGCTTATTTCTTTTATTTATTTTTTTTAAATTTTGTTTTTTTGCGGTACGCGGGCCTCTCACTGTTGTGGCCTCTCCCGTTGCGGAGCACAGGCTCTGGACGCGCAGGCTCAGCGGCCATGGCTCACGGGCGCAGCCGCTCCGCGGCATGTGGGATCTTCCCGGACCGGGGCACGAACCCGCGTCCCCTGCATCGGCAGGCGGATTCTCAACCACTATGCCACCAGGGAAACCCTGTTTGTTTTATTTTGATTCATTTGCCAGACATACTTTAGCAGGTAGTCAATAAATACTTGTTGGTTAGATTGATCCTGACACAGGCTGAACAATAATTATTTCAAGATTCAAGCAAAAATTCTGAGAGCATTTTCTTCAATAATGAAGATGACTTGACATCATTTAATAACTAAATTGGCTTCAGTTTCTTCCCTTCAAATTTTGTTTTCTTGCTTGCCATCTGATTAAAACTGTAAAATATGCTGATGCTGAGCAAATCTCAAACTGCACAGATGCGCAATTTTCATTTGTGATGTTCCCACAGGCTCACTGTCACTTCCGACCTTGGGTCAGCGTTACAGGGCTTATAACGAGCTCCTCCTGTTCCATTAGCTGTAACTGGCTTTCCCTGACTTGTTTCCAATGGAAATATGCTTTCTGTGGAATGCTGGTCTACAACCAATTGTGGAAGAGAAAACGTCAGAGCATTACTAGATGATGACTGTAAAATAATATTCAAGTTGGATTTTCCTAAGTAATTGTTTCACAGATTACACTATTGCAGTGGTTTTCAAACC